GCCTATTACAGGGACAGTTTTAATCAGCTTGGCTTTCTTTCTAACAGCGGAGAAATTGATTCAGCGCTCTGGCGACAGATGGAGCTGATTACAATAATTAATCAAATTAGAGTAACAAGGAGATATAACATGTTCAGGCCCTGGAAGCATAATGAATTTAATCATTTGCCTGTTCTCGAACTCTGGTCCTCCATTTATCCCGGTGAAAGCTTAGGCACTCAGAACTTGGTCGGGTAGAATGTTGAGGGCTCTCCATTTCCAAAGTTTCGACAAAATTTCAGCTGCAATTTTCATGGTTAAAGGCTTTAGGATAGTTTTTTTTTTGACAGCTCTAATACATTTTTATAAAAGCTGCTAAAATCTCCCCAAAGTCATTAACCCTGAAGGACACGGTAGCAGGATTCGCGGAAACGTTGGGAAACCCTTAAAACATTGTTCTCGAATTCTTTCGTGTGAGGAAACGGGTGGACGGACGAAGAAATCTTAATGGAGGCTTCATAGGTATGCGGACGAGTCTTAAAGCATCGCAGGTGGATACAAATGTATGTAAAGAAAAACTGGCTCGAATTCTGGCAATAAGATAGTCCCTTACGAAACAGGTTCCCCTAATGTCCGGCTGCCTTCTGCTGTAGATAAGAGAGACAAATGCAAGCTGCAAATCTGTACAATGGGACGCCATTCCAACGCTAATTGTAATTTATGTCTGTCTGCCTTTCAAAGTAATTTACCTAGGGTGTAGCTACCTAACAAAATCTCTTGCTTCTAGAGAGAGACCTTGAGAATTGCTTTGTAGCAGACATACCAGTATGTTCCATAGCGAGGCTCTGCAATTGTCATATTACAGGGACTCTAAAAATATTTTGGAGCGTAAGGCTGACCTCATCGCCATCTGTGATCCGATTGTCTAGAAAATGTGGGAGCCTCGACGTCTTACAACCTTATGGGCCTCTATGGCCTCTTACAGAGATGGCTTTACCTTTAGCTAAAAAATATTTTACCCTTTAGAACAGACTGGTTACTATTAAATTATTTAACATTCAAGAAATCCACATTTTGCCTACAGAGTTCATACGTGTGTTTCGTACGATTCTTAAAATAAAACGCAATTGTGTCCCTATATTAAATTATTGGTCTTTCCTCCTGTTATTTCGTCTCTCCGAGGTCCAAATCTCCTTATACGCACAGTATTCTGGAAAAACTTAAATGTACACTCTACTGTTAGCACTTTAAATCGTAGTCTTCATAATACTGTCTGATATTAAGAGACTAGAAGCGGCGTTTGGATTAGTTATTGGATTCACTGGACTCTTACATAAGTCGTGACTACACAGATCTCTAGTACGAGAACTACTGTTCTCAGATATCCACGCGTTTACTACACGTTACTTCGCTACCGTCATCAAAAGACGTTGCTATGTAACGGCTTCCAACAAGGTGATCCGATTGTCCTCCGTTCCCACGCCTCCGTTCCCACGCCTCCGCCAGGGGGAGACTGTCTCACAATAACTTCAGACTCGGACTCACTGACCGTTCCCTAGCAACGGCAATCTCTTCTGGCTTTGAGAGGACGTGTTACGATATTTATAACACATGCTTTAAAACAAATAATGTATTTAACCCTGAAGGTTTATTTTCATGTTGTTTCGTATGATTCTCAGAATAAACAGGAGATTATTCCCCTAAACATTGACTGCTAACGAGGGGCAGTGGGCTTTCAATGAAACAGTAAACAGAATTTGAAAGATTATTTAGTTGAAGTTCAGGCTTCAATCGGTTGAAGCGGTGATGAGGATTTTCTCTTTACGTATTTATGGTTACGCTGACCGTGTCTTCACCTTCCCAATGTCCTTATTTTCATACGACCCTTACCGGAAGTTCAAGTGGGCAGGATTTGGGATTCTCCCTCGCAAAATAGTGTCTCATTTCCCTCACCTTTCACTCTTCTGTCTCTCTCTCTCTCAAGCTTCAAAATATTTCGCACATACTTTAAAATGATGTTAATCTGTAAAAAGTTCTAACAAGTTCTTATACAATTACATATCCAAAAGTTAGCATCTATCTGTTTTATTTAATCAAATACGATGTTAACAACTCAAAGTCAAAAAGTAAAGTCTTATTTTAAGGAAAATAAATGCTTATATTGGAGATCATGTCAAATTAACTCATATTGGCGTTTTTGGGTTCATGGTGCCATGTAATCTTTTCGATTCTTACAAATATTTCAGGGGAAAATGTCCCTATCTTCAGGGAAGTAGTTTTCCCACCCTGAAGATAGAGGTAGCAGATTCCTCCAAAATGTTAAGAACAATCTATCAGACTACACGGCAACATATCCCAGGAGATTAGATCCTCAATATTCACAGCCGAGAACACATCAGGTCTCCACACCCACATGTACAGAACACAACATGACATGCCCGTGAAGGGGCCTCATAGCCTTCAGCAGATATCCGGCTGCTGGGCTCATTGAGAATGAAGAGGTGAGATAATTGGCATTACATAATTTCAGAGGCATCAAGTAACTACATAATTGAACAAAAGATCAATCAATAACATATATCAAATCCTCCAGCGCTTTCAATCCAAGATTCTCCCACCCATCCTGAACGCACCTTGGTACACAAACAGCCACAGGATCCATGAAGATCTACAAATGAACGCAGTGCTCAGTGAAATAAAAATTACTCAAGAAAATCTGAAAACCACACCAATGCACTAGCAGTGAACCTGATAGACAATAGCGACTGAAAAGATACACCGTCCTAAGTCTACCATACAGACCTGAGTAAAACCTCAATACAAGAATTAAAATGATACCTAATTGAACAAAGAAATTATACGGGTATGGTGGAAGTTTACAGACATTTCGAAGAAACCCACAACCTGCATCTTCAATATCAAAGAATGAGTGAAGCAAAAAACCAGCAAGCAGACTTTTTTTGCTACCAGTATAATTCTATCAAACTACACGGCGTCACATCCCAGAAGGCAATACTCTTCTCACGAAGCAATTTTTTCTCAACAATCCACATTCATGTTTTTTTTATTTCTGTTACAACTGTTTTATACCGGCCACTGGAGCAAAGATTGAAATATTTTAACCATTAATTTGCTCAGGTTATGAATTCGTCATTTTGGGCTGCTGGCCCATAAGAATATTATCTTGGACCTATCTCGTAGGCCAACCGTAGTCGGATCAATAAATAACTTCGCGCTGCTATGTAATTCAAGTTCTTTTTATGATAGTTATGAGCTTAAATATAGTATGTAGTACGTTGTTCGGCCACAATGCCATGATCAGCGCTGCCATCACGGAGAGCCATTGTTGCATCAGATGTATTCAGTCCGTTAACAATAGCAAACCAAGATGAAGACAATAGATACAATCTTTATTAGTTCCCAGAAATATTTCTAATGGATATCCTTCAAGGCAATAGATGAAGCCCGCTATTAATCCCTTTTGTATCACTTCCCCTTTCACTGATAAGTATAAAAAATGTTTCTATGCGTCCATGTCATCATCTCAAACGAACTGCAGTTTGGAATTGAAAACTGGATCAGAATACAGACAGATGAGATTCAGTTCTTTAAGATGCGTGAAGGATTGGAACAAGGTATTTAGAATAATAAATGAAGATCCCATTATTGTTTCTGGACATTACTCGTCGTCCTGTTTTATTGAAACACAACATTTCGGAGACAGGATTCTGTCTTCGTCTTATGTTGTAAGCTGTTCAGTTGGGCCCATTCGATACAGCTAGTACCTGTCTCCGTTTCTTCTTAAGACGGAATCCTGTCTCCGAAACGTTCTGTTTTTAATAAAAACAGGACGATGGATGTCTAGGAAAACAATAATTATATTAATATACCATCGTCACAAACTTTTAGATCTCATTAATAAATTAAGATATTAGGACATAAGCGGGAATTTTCTCAGTGAATGAAAAAGAGATAAGAAAACAGGGAAATAACAGGAACTCCTACGATAAAGGATGCAAACCGCATTCCTGAACAAGCTATAATTTTCAAATTACACAAAGGAGAAGAAAGAAGACAGAGGAACAAATCGATTTACAAACATTTGAGGCCGGAATAGGCTAAAGTCTATTTTTTTTTTTTTTTTGAGTGAAGAAACATAAAGATTCGTTTGATAGAAATATCACCTCAGATCCAAAGGCAATTAAGTTACTATATTATGGGACTAGTACGTACATAATAGCTGTAAGCGATCAGGTTAGTCTAGCGGTAATGTTCCATACTTGTATTCGGAAAGTGCTCAGTTCAAACCTCGGCCGGAACACCGTCTATACTGATTGAAGTACTTAGTAGTGCTCCTCAGTCTCTCCAAGCAAAGTCGGAATAGTAACTCGATTAGGCCACAACCTGTTCCTTCCAAATCCTCTTGAATTAAGCATTCAAGTATCGGTCTAACATTAAATGCTATATACACTCTGCAAGCCACCGCCTAAACATGTTATGTGAGGCAAATCAAATGTGAGAAAGCGGAGATCGAAAGAGTCATAAATGAGAGTGGAACAGGCTAATTCCTAACACTTGTAGTAAAGAAGATGAAGACTATAAACTACAGAGGTTTTTTTATCACTCACTCATGGAGTTGAACCTTTCTTGAGATGCCACCAACTGTGCGGCTACTCAAGAACTTCCCAGCATTTTATGGAACCCGGAGGTTCATTACAGCGTTAACAAGAGCCCTCCATTTGTCTCTATCTTGAGCCAGATTGATCCAGTCCATAATATCTCATTATATCTATCTAAGATCCATTTTAATATTGTCCACCCATTTTTTATAGGAATATCATCTCAGATTCAGAGACCATTACGTTATTCTGTTACAGGACCGGAAATAAGACTGCTGAGCTCTATTCTAGTGACATCTGGGAATCAGTTACAAGAACCAATAGCTGTAAAACTGTTATATCATCTCATGTTCTCTGAAGACGAGGCGGTCCCATGGGGCTGATATTCTTTTCCTGTTGCAGGGGCCAATTCGCCTCAGTAAGCCGGTGTCGATCACGTGACACCGGCCAACAATTCGCGGCCAAGTTCTCCAGCAGAGCTCGATATGGCGAGGACTGTAGTGCAGAGATCCATCACGAGATAGCGTTGCTGTCGCTGTGCTCGCCATCTTCACGCGTTATCCGTCTGCACGATGTTTTTGAAACTCCGACAGAAATTATTCTCGTCCTCGAATTGTAAGTATTGCTGTCAGATGAAGTATAGCTCATAATATTGGATTTTATTTGACAGAAGTTGTGCCTTATCACTCTTTATATCTGTCATAAATATAATAAGTATTTAGACTTAAATTTAGACATGATATGCCTCTTTCTACATGACCGTTCCTGCTTCTCGATGCATTGACACCAAAGTTTCACACATTCCCCATTCTATCACAAAAAAAATAATATTCTCATTTGGGGCTTAATGAACTACACCTGGATTTCGTTCTCTCTGTTACTGATGTCCACTTATAAAACGAAAATCTATCCCTGTAACAGGCCGTGGAGGCCCATAAGGTTGTGAGACGTCGAGGCTTCCACATTATCTGGACAATCGTCTAACAGATGGCGGTGAGGTTGTCGGTCTTACACGCCGGCCGCCCTTTATCCTCAGGAAAATTCCTGGTACTCATTTCTGTTAGAGGCGGAGTCGAGCCCAGGGCCATAGTGCGGCTGGAAGGATTCGGTCAATTGAAAAATCCAATGATCTCATTGGAAATCGAAAACGACCTTCCGGCTTGTAGCATAGTACCTAAACCAACTACGCTACCGCGTGCCCGTGTGCCCACTTATACTAGAATTTAATCAGAAATCATTAAGCAGTATTTGGTTGTCCCGGATACACTGATAAATCCCCAGATAATTTTAAATGTATGTTGCATTGGATGACAATTTTGACCACTATCAAAGCCAGTCTCCGAGCCTTTAAATTGTCTTCTGTCTCATGCATGTTCTGGAATCTTATTCCACAGTAAGTTTTTCTCTTTAACAAATAATTTTGGATAAATCTGTTACTTTTCATTTCGTATTTTACAAACTAACACTTACCCCAGCGAAATTCCGTAACCTACCGTGGGGGGCAAAGGCACTTCCTTATATTTTAATTTTGAAAATAAGAAGTTGCAAGATACTAATGCCAGAAGTCTACTTCAGTAAATTATTCATGAAACGACTTCATGCATCTTAATTACGTCTATGAGAACTTACACTATAATTTAAATTTGTTCATTTGTTTTTGTTACGTTGGCAGTGCTCCGGGAGGTGATCTGCAGACCATTATAGACGACAATCTAGTGCCATTTGAAGCAGACGTAGTGAAGTTCGTGCGTCAGCTGGTAGAGGGCCTTGTCTACCTGCATGAGAGGAAAGTAGCCCATCTTGACATCAAGGTATGTCACCATCCACAATTTGTATTTCTTTCCTCAATATGAGCGGTCTTCATAAATACTGTGACGTATAGACCAATTGCTAGGCAATGACTTAGTAAATATTGCCACATAATCCAACTCGTGCAATAGGACGTCCATTGGTAGGCAACGGATCAGTAAATACGCCTTTTTAACAATACAATGTGCATCTTTTACGTGGTCGGTTCAAAGTGATCATAAGGAAGTGTTCAGTAGTAGAGTGAGCAGTAAGAACAGAGTTAGAGACGACAGCTGACGGGAGATGAACTCGGAATTGAACTGAGTTGGCAGGTACAAAATAATGGCAATATGTATCACCAGGTAGCAGCACAGTCCAGCTTCATGATACTGTAGATAGCAGCCGCGCATGCGCATGTTCAAAGGCTGGTTTCAGTAGTCAAAACGGGGACCATGTTTGAGGATGTATTACTGCAGAGCAGCGTCATATTGTGCATTTTTTGTGGGGAAAATGGCTTAACCAAAAGGATGTTCATAAAGAAATATTTCCTGTTTACGGTGGGAAGTGTTTCTCGCGTAAAGCTTGTTACAACTGGGTGACAAACGTTCTGTTGATGAAGAGGTTGAAACGGATGTGCATAAGTGGCTGAGACAACAGCCAAAAGATTTCTACGCTGCGNTGTCAAGGTTAGAATATCACATGTTGTACGTTTTGAATCCATTTGTGACTCATTTACTGACTCTTCGTCGTAAACAAATGAATAAAATCGTACACAGCCTCGTCACCACACCAGTGATCAGTCATCAGATAAACTCTGGAGTTTGCATCGATACGTAACCGTGTACAAGGGGTAGATGCAGCCCGTCAGACGCAGACATTTTGCCCATTGAGAACGAGATGAAGCAGCCAGGCAAGATTTATCTTAGAAACAACTTTCCAAATATGTAAATAGCTTCAGAATGGCAGGTTGCTCAGGCAACCGCGTTCCGGTGCGTTACCTGGTTCAGTGATATACAGTGTCACCACCTCCACACGCTCTCATTATCACGAACTAAACTAGTCACTATCTGTCCGGCCTATCTCTGTTATTATGGTCAACAGCATAAACCCATTATGGATATGGGAAGGATGCAAGAAAATTGAAAATACATCTTACTGACAGTTGGATTCAAAAGGTAAAACAAGTAGGGACAGACATCAACTCACAGTGTCCCTTGGCTATATCAATAGTGAATAAACAAGTTAGGAATTGTGCGCATAGTGTGACAATTTCGCCGCATTCGCTTCTTTTCTTTCATGTTCTCGAAAACCAAAACATTTATGGAGTAACGTGTACTGAACATATTGTCACGTGTATTAGTGACTATAGACGGGGTTTGGATTGGTAACTTGATTTCTCGACCACTTACAGGTCGTAACTACAAATAATTATTACATTATTGCTGATTTCTAAATCACAAATCATTCATCACTAAGTCTTCTCACTCTACTTCCACTAGTCTTTACTCGGTAACAGCTCTCCACAATGGCTGTTCGTCTGCAGTGTTACCACTAGACGTTTCCTGGTAACGAATCTTAGCGACGGAGATTCTTCAGGTCCTGCTGCCCGCTGGTTAGCATTCCACAGCTGAACACTCAACTGCTTATATTCCGTTGCACTCCCTTGTACTCCTTGTACTCCTTTGGTACTCTTCTAATTCAAAGTCAAAGTCACATTGCGACTGACGGACCAGATATTTATTACTGTTTGACAGTTACGGTCTTGTTTCTGTGGGGCGCCCTCCCTGACGAGAGGACGGGTCTGTCTTCTGTACATGCTGCAGGCCCTTGCCAGCGCATTCTTTCTCTTCTCGGGTCCGAGTCCCTTGCGACTCGCGACCATATTTTACTGTCTCAGATTCGAGACTTCCCTTTTCGTCGCCTCCTACGACTCGCAGGGTCACGGTGGAGGTATTCGACCCCGCCTCCACACGGGTGTCTTCTAATTCTTCTGACTGTGCCCTCTTATCATTCCTGAGGACGAACCCCATGGAAAACCGTCTGTTGTCAATAATACCTGTTTATTGGTCCCTTACTTGGCAATGGATATTCTTCTATTGTTGAAAGCGTAACTTCGGGAATGTGTTTACCGAGCCGTTGCTTAGCAATGAGAGTATGCGTGACAATACTTTCAGCTTCGTTTTCCGTCCACCATGCAGCTATATCAAGATTTAGAGTCTTTTTTTTTTAATTCGCCATTGCACTACATGCCCACTATCCGATGCGCCGACGGCAGACAAAACCAAAAATAAATTTTAATACAGACTGCAACAGGATGTTAAAATAAAGCAGTATGGAGCATAACATGTGTGTTCGGAATACTTTTCGTTCCAGTAAATACTTAACGAGTTACTTTCGAGATCTGGGCAGAACGCATGTAGGTCCTCGTACAAAGAGCCCGTTGTAGGTGTTGCTGTTGTCAGATTTCAAGGAAAATGCACATCTTCCATAAAAGTTTCAAGACAATCCATTTGGCTGTCATGGCCCAGAAGAGGTATTATGCCAGCATTTGCCTAGATTGTCCTCGTACACCCACGAAAATATCTTATAAAACATTGTCGGTATCCTGATCGAGGTTCGAACCGAGCACCTGCAGCTTTGCGGCTACGCCAACCAGAGAAATAAATTGTAGGACAAATCCGTAAATATTTATTAAAGAAACAAACAGCACAGATAGGGACATACGTTAGGATTCGTGATTTTAAGTGGAAGGCTGCTGGCTGGAGGTCAGTTTGCATCCGGGGAGGTCCTGCGACCGGCCAGCCGGATCTTGGTTTTCGTTATATTCCTCAGTTCTAGAACAAATGCTGAGTTACGATCCAAATTCCACGTTACACTACTCGTTTTTCGCGCACTCCTTCACTAGAGCAAACACATGAGTCTTCTCAGTCTGATACAGTCTTCACTAGCCGTTGCTTGAAAGCGGCTACCAAAGGCGTATATTCCCCTTCCTCTGGATTATCGAACTATCCCCGGCTTCCGGTACCAGCTTCTGACAGCAACGGCTCACAAGGACTGAACCCCATCGGTTATCTAACTAACTCGCTGATTTACGAACCAACTCCTCACTCACTAACTCACAACCGACTAACTCAACTCAACTGTCTCACTAACTCTTCTTGTTTATAATAACTCGGCATGAACGATATAGAAATTTCCGTTCATCTTTCGCTGTTTACGACCGCTACCTAGTAACGGCCATTGTTTGCAGAGTCATTACTCAGCAATAGCTTTGTATAGTCGCTTATATCGCGGTCGTTGCCTAGCGATGGGTCTACATGCTGTGTTATCTCTGTCTCTCTCTTTCTCTCTCATTTATAGTCATACTTCATATTGCTGAAGTGGCTGTTATACGTGCTGTAGCGTAGGACTTCATAATTTGAACGTTTTTGTACACAGAGCCAGAAGGCGGGTCGTTTATCGTGGAGCATGCGTGACTCGTTCAATTTGTTCCATTATAATTGCCCTACTTAGCCACGTGATTAGCTCCTCATCAACAGCGGATTTCAAAACGAGAGGAAGAAGGAAACATGTCTCAGGTTTTACGGTCTGGTATTTGAAAAGCTTGCTCCGAATTAAAGTTCAGAAATGGTAGAGAAAATAAACTTTTCTGCGACAAAAATATTAAATATTGGCAGACCGGTTTTGTACATAGTTTCGGTTTGATGTCCGGAAAAGGTGGTGAACATAAGTATTTAATATCACGCGGTAGCCATGTTGGTTGAGGCACTATGCTACAAGTCGGAAGGTCGCGGGTTCGATTCTCAATTATGTAACAGGATTTTTCAGTTGACCTAATTCTTCCAGCCGCACTGTGGGCTTGGGGTCGACTCAGACTCTAACAGAAATGAGTACCAGGAATCTTCCTGGGGAGCAAAGCGTGGCCGGCGCGTAAGGCTGACAACCTCGCCACCGTCTGTGAGCCGACTGTCTAGAAAATGTGAGAGCCTCGACATCTCAGAATCCTATGGGCCTTCGGTGTGTTACAGGGATGGCTATACCTCTTTTGCCTTTTATATAAATGTACCAGATTTGTAGAAAAACACCTCGAAAGATCCTATGACACCCGTTCAATTCTCAAGAGAATCAACAATTAGAAATTACCAAATAACTCCTACATTAATAAATTCACATATAGGGAATATAGTCCCCAAAATAATTCTTGAATATGTAATTCATATAATATTACAAATGCTTCACATTCTGTCAGATATAGCAACATTTTGTAAAAATCGAAATTTTCGACAGTTGGCACTTGTAGGGCTAAAATTAATATGTTAAACGCAAACGTTCATCTAATAATTTGTTATTATTCACTAAATTAATCTTCTGGCTACACACAAGGGCTACCATCACTCATCTCCGTTTCCTACAAGACATTAACTACATAACTGTCACGTGGTAAGTGTGACTAGAGACGGGGTTTGCATTGTAACTGGATTCACTGGACAATTACACGCTCAGTTACAAATAACTACGACAGTCTTACTGAGTTACACACTACAAATGTCACTGTAACTACAGTGCATACAAAATAATCTCAGTCTTCAATATCCGTTGCTTAGTAGCGGCTTCAACGGCGGACGTTCCATTTCCGCTGGGTTCCCGAAATATTCCGGGCCTCAGCTACCGGCTTCTCACTTCTCACAACTATAACTCTCAACTGACTCAACATCTCTTCCATTATTGTGTGTTCTCTCGTTGCCAGGGAAACAATGTGACCACAGAGCTGTTCCCCAACAATGGATGTTATACTGTCGCCTGTTTACACAGCTGTTACTTGGCAATGGGTCTCCATGTCACAATATGTTCACCTTGAGACCATGTATATAAGTTACCATAACAGTCACAATCAACCGACCTAAACGTAATGTGTGAGTCCTGATTCTTGCAGATGTATCGCGGTAGTCGTGTATCTAACTGATGACTCAATATACATACTGAACTGTCGGAGTGACCGCCAAGTTGCAGAAATTATTGCTAC